GATCCAGAGCTTTCTTATCACCTACAGAGGCCTTCAGGAAAGCCTTGCCAGCCTTGTCAGCTGCAGAAGAAATGGGCCAGTATGGCAGGTGTCGGGGTGTGCGAGGTCTGGCTACAACTGTCCAAAGGTAAGTAGTAGGGCAGCTTCACACACACCCCACCTAGCTTAATTTTTACCTGTGCACTCGAGTGGGCGGGATCTTAATTAGGGCTTATTTTGGAGGGTAGGGCTTATATTGGACACACGTGCAAAAAAAAATCAAGCTAGGACTTACTTTCAGGGTAGGTCGTATTTTCGGGAAAACAGGGTATCCGTATCATGAGCTCTCCCCAGATCATTATGAAGAGAGCAATTCAATCACAGAGAGGACTTTGAAGGAAGCAGCTCCAACAAGTGAGCCAAGCTGCGAAGCCCATTAGAAGAAACATCATGCTTGTTTGTTCAGAACTCACACAGACTGGGTAAAACCAGGTTTAATAGCAGTAACTGTGAGAGGGATCTCGGAGTCTTAGTGGACAACCAATTAAATATCAGCCAAAAGTGTAAGCGACAGCCAAAAAAGTCAATGCAATCCTAAGTTGCATGGACAGAAGAATACAATTAAAATCAAGGGAGGTAATAATACCACTCTATAAAGCCTTAGTAAGACCACACCTAAAGTACTGCATCCAGTTTTGGTCACCACACTACAAAAGAGATGTTGAGACTCTAGAAAAAATACAGAGAAGAGCAACCAGGATGATTAGGGGATTGGAGGATGAAATATACAATGAACGGTTACAGGAACTGGGCATGGCTAGTCTAGAGAAGAGAAGGACCAGAGAAGACATGATAGCAGTCTTCCAATATCTCAGAGGCTGCCACAGAGAGGAAGGGGTCAAGCTATTTTCCAAAGCACCCGAAGGCCAGACAAGGAATAATGGATGGAAACTGAACAAGGAGAGGTTCAACCTGGAAATAAGGAGAAATTTTCTGAGAACAATCAACCAATGGAACAGAAGTTGCCTTCAGAAGTTGTGGGAGCTTCATCCCTGGAGGCTTTCAAGAAGAGATTGGACTGCCATCTGTCAGAAATGGCGTAGGGTCTCCTGCTTGGGCAGGGGGTTGGACTAGGTGACCTACAAGGTCCCTTCCAACTCTGTTAATTTGTTAATATAAGAATGTTTGCTTACCTCTGTTAGCGTGTATGCCTCCTCAGCTGTACATTCTGCTTTCGCAGTAGGGTTACTCAATGCAAAGATGATGGGTCTCTGATTAATGTCGGCCATCGCTTTGATGATATCGTGAGAAAACAGCCGCCCAGCCCCGGCAACTCCTGAAAGTGTAAATAAGACCATGGCTCAAAGAAAATATTCCAAATATTTCTTAGGCAGGTGGGGCAAGAGCCTTCCTAACAGTGTGACAATCTCTGGGGTCCTGCAGTTTTGAGAAATTTGGACAGAGTGTGGCCACTGCGGGAACATTTTGCAATGAAGCAACACACTTTGCCTGAATTGTGTGCAAGTTCCTACTTGTTCTACTACTAGTGGAAAGAAAGAATAAAGTGAAAAGAACTCGATTTTTCTACAGCCAGCAAGGCTCTAGACCAGTGTTTTTTCAAACTTGGCCAGATTACAATGTGTGGACATCAATTCCTAGAATTCGCTAGCCAGGACTTCAACTGGACTTGGGTGGACTTCAACTCCCAGAATTCCCTAGTCAGCCGTGTTGGCTGGGGGATTCTGGGAATTGAAGTCCAGACATCTTAAACTTGCCAAGTTTGAAAAACATTGCTTCAGACATTTGGAAATTCCAATCTCAGCAATGTAGTAGAAGCAGCAGCAAAAAAAAGTTGACTAATTTAGGAATTGTCTGAAATTCTCACCAATAATGGCCGAAGGCTGAAGAACCCTCACTGCATCCAAGAAAGATTTTGGTATGTTCCCTGGAGCTGGATGAGTAAAGGGCTCCTGGTTAACATCAATCTTTTCCGCCCGGCCCTAGAAGATGACAAAATAAAGAACAACTGCTTGGAAAACCTAAACCAACATGGATCTAACATTGCATTGGGTCTTTCCAAACTCATGGGCACCGTACCTTTATCAATAAGCCGTCTTTATCAAACATCCAAATTTTATCATAAGCTTCTTCTGTAGAAAGGCCATTTTCCACCATAGCCATGACGATGAGATTTGCAATACCAAGGGCAGCCTGATGGAGGAGACAAAGAATAGGAAAAGCATGGTTTGGCAGAGCTGGGTTGGCAACAATAAAGGAGTTTAGAATTCAGTTTCCAGAGGAGACAGAAACAATCGTTAAAGAAAGAAAAAATAACACTTGGCATATCTCTCTAATGGTTTTTTATACGCCAGTGATGGCGAACCTTTTAGAGACCAAGTGCCCAAACTGCAACTCCACTTAGTGATTGCAAACTGCCAACAGGGCAATTTAACCTGAATACTGAGGTTTTACTACCTAAAATAATGATAAACAAGGCAGAGTTCAGCTAATGGTTCTAAGAAAAAACGTGATAAATGCACTTTTATGCCCCTTCATTTTTTTGTGCTTTTGAAATATTTAGAATGTAAAATATTTTGAAATATTTCATTGTTTAGCAACAATAAAAAAACTTTTGTAATATAATTTCTTTCCCTCTCCTGTCTCTCTCTTTCTCTCTCTCTGGTTCCTTCCCTTTCTTTCTCTCTCTTTTCCTCCCTCCCTCCCTCCCTCCCTCTCTCTTCCCCCCCTTCTCTTTTTTTCCCTTCCTTTCGCTATTACTCTCCCTTTTTGTTTCTCGCTCTCTCTTTCTCTTTCTCTCTCTCTCCCTCTGGGGAAGGAAGGAACCCGTGAACTGGTGCCGGGTGGTGGGAATCTGATGTTTGGAGGCCAACGAGCCCAGGAGCAGCGCGCCGAAGACCATCTGGGAGGCAGGGAGGCAGGCCATCACAACACTGGCAGCTCTGCAGGAAAGGCGCATCGTAATGGGCTCCAGGAGTAGGGGACCCCATCTCCCCCATTGTGAAATGCGCTAAATTTCACTGTGGTGCGCAAGGCACTGTGAGAGCAGCAGGCAGGCCATGGAGGCAGCAACAGCAAATGTACTGCAACCAAGGCAGAATGCGTGCAAAGGCAAGTGCAAAAAATGCTACAGAGAAAAGCGATGGAACTGGGCTTGGGCGATGGCGCCAGGGGTGGGATTCTACCGGTTCTGTCCGGCTCTGTAAAACCGGTAGCTCTGAAGAGCAGCAGACACAGAACCGGTTCTGTGTCTGCTGCTGTTTTGGCCCACCCGCCTGCCCGGGCTCTTGCCTGTCCTTTATTTCCTGCTTTTTCAACCTCAGCTGCTTTGCGCGGCACAGGTGCAGTTGAAAAAGCAGGAAAAAAGGGCTTTTTCAACTGCTGCGCACCCGCGCGCAGCGCTACTCAGCTGTCCGGGCTGTTCAGCATGCTGTAATGTGGACACCTGCGCAGGTAAATCCAGCAAAAAAAAAAAAACCACTGAAAACTGCAGGTGTGTGACTGCAGGACACAGCAAATGGTTGTAAATGCAAACCAGTTGCTAAACACCCAAAATACTGTCATGTGATTATGGGGGAGGGAGGCAGCCACCCAAACTTTGAACAGTCACTAAGTGACCGGTGATTGAGCACGGACTACCTCTACTGTTCAAAAAGCTGAATAAAATAATATGATGATAAGTTATTTAAAATGATACATCTTGAAATGCTTTTGTCATGCCCCTGTTGGAATCTGATTCCGAGGGGGAAGCTGAGTAGCTGACAGGGATGGGAGTGTGGCTCCATTGGCTGTGGAAGAAACTGGGGAAGGGCACAGTCCGGCTGGGCAGAGCAGGGGAGAGGTAGAGCAAGGGAGAGGGAGTTTGAAGGAAGACCCAGGCCCACCCCATCTTCATCCTAGGAAGGAATGAAGAAGGGAGCAACGTGAGTTGCGTGGCTTACGGGGAAGGAAAGGGCCCTGATTCCCTTCATTAGCTGCAGCTGGGAACACAGTGTTTAAAAAGGGAGGTTGCGCACAGCAACTTGTTGGAAGCAAATCATGAGTTATCTTTTATTGTCAAGGCTTATCTGGGTTCCTGATGTCTTCCCAACTGTGTGTGTTTTGTTGGCCTTTGAAGTTTGCAATTCCTTATCCTGCCCTGTTGTTAATTGCTGCAGCATGGTTTGTGTGGATTTCTATTTAAGTTTATATGTACTTTGTTTTCGGACTGAATTTCCTCCACTTAAAGACTATTCTTGGGAGAGTTTTTTCTCCAGCTGAAGGTAACTGGACATTGGGGGCAAAGTTGGAGGTATTAAAGGGACTTTTCTTACTTATGTGACTGTGTTGCCTTTGTGCCATGTCCCAGGTCATCACAGCTTTTTGGAAAGCATCTGGCTAAGTACTAAGGCTAGTGCCACATTTTTCACATGGGGGGGGGGGGGCAGGGGAACACTAATTCGAGACCCTTCTGAATTCAACAATGTAATTGGGGGCAGGGAGTTGGCACCCACAAAACAGAGTTTAAGGGTGGACATGTGGCTCTGGGTTGCCAAATCCCCAGCCCTGCAATGCCATCTAAGGCAGTGTTTTTTGAACTTGGCAACTTTAAGAGTTGTGGACTTCAACTCCCAGAATTCCCCAGCCAGCATGCTTTAAAGTAAACGCTCTTCAAGGGTAAACCTTGCACAGAGGGCATTGCATCTAGCCGTAACCTATCCTCAGTATAGAATGCTCTGATTGGTTCAACAACTGTTCATATCTGACAACTAAATGCAAACCACAAAGGCCCAAATTTATTGCAGCAGTCTTAATGCAAACAAGTGCACAACTCACTTCTCCTGCTCCAAGGAAGAGGATCCGGTGCTCGGTGAGGGGTTTTGCAATGACTTTCTGTGCTGTCAATAATCCAGCCAAAGCAACTGCCGCAGTCCCTAAGAAAGAACACACAATTTCTCAGGGGAGAAAAGGATCCACATAGAAGCAAAACAAATCCACCAACAAACCCAGAGCCCAAAGGGGCACATGGGGAATATGTTGAAAGGCCGGGGTTGATTGCTCACCTTGTATGTCATCATTGAAAGTGCAATATTTTTCTCGGTATTTCCTCAAAAAGCGGAAGGCATTATGGTTGCCAAAGTCTTCAAACTGAATGAGGGTGTTTTGGCCGTACCTGGAAGGCACAGGTAGAACTATCAAATGAACAGCAAAGCATTCTAGCCATCCATGAAGATTCTGCACACCTCTGTAATTTACCCTTTCCCTAACCCTTACTGTAACTCTAACCCTAACCCTTACTCTAATCCTTACCCTAACTCTCTTTCCCTAACTCTTATTCTAATCCTAACCCTTACTCTCTTACCCTAACTCTCTTTCCCTAACCCCAAGTCTTACTCTAACCCTTACCCTAACTCTAACCTTTACTCTAATCTTTACTCTAACCTTTACTCTAACTCTAACCTTAACTCTAACCTTAACTCTAACCCTAACTCTAACTCTAACTCTAATCCTTTCCCTAACCCTAACCCTTACTCCAACCCTTACCCTAACTCTAACCTTTACTCTAATCTTTACTCTAACTTTTACTCTAACTCTAACCTTTACTCTAACCTTAACTCTAACCCTAACTCTAACTCTAATCCTTTCCCTAACCCTAACCCTTACTCTAACCCTTACCCTAACTCTAACCTTTACTCTAATCTTTACTCTAACTCTCTTTACTCTAACCTTAACTCTAACCCTAACTCTAACTCTAATCCTTTCCCTAACCCTAACCTTTACTCTAACTCTAACCTTTACTCTAACCCTAACCCTCACCCTAATTCTTATTCTAACTCTAACCCTTACTCTAATCTTTACTCTAACTCTCTTTACTCTAACCTTAACTCTAACCCTAACTCTAACTCTAATCCTTTCCCTAACCCTAACCTTTACTCTAACTCTAACCTTTACTCTAACCCTAACTCTCACCCTAATTCTTATTCTAACTCTAACCCTTACTCTAACTATAACCTTAGTCCTTTCTCTCCCTAACCCTTACTAACTCTAACCTTTGCCCTTACCCTAACTCTAACCCTTTCCCTAACTCTTTCCCCAACCCCAACCCTAACCCACTGCTAAATTTCAGCTGTGTAGTTAAAAAAAAAAAAAAGCCCCCTGGCCCACAAAAGGGGAGTTTGTGACTGTATTCATCTGATGGGATGCCAGCCGTCAATCTCATCTTTGCTAAACAGATCCTCTCTGACCCATTGAAGTCTTCTTGGACGTACAGGAAAGGCTGTCTTGTTGACATGCACAAAATGCACAAACTCTTTCCGTGCTTGCAAGGGAATAAGGCTCAGGATTTATACCTGCCTACAATGGCTTCCATGAATTCATCGATGAGTTCATCATAAACCTGAGAGCGGTCTCGTTTCTGATACAATCCCATATAAAATGGGTCTTCCAAAAGCGTCTAGGAAAACAGGGGGGAAAAAAAAAAACCAAAGCAAAGTCACCAAACGTATCTCCAACACTGAATTATATTCTGCCGCTCCTTGGAAACACGGATATTTGCAGGACATACTGAGAAGCCTTTCCCTGCACAGAAAGTCCTTGACTGATGAGCACAATTGAGGCTGGAATTCTGGTCGCTAAGCGAGGCAGTCATGAAGGGAGTCATCGCCTGATCAGACCCGGTTTTACCTTATTTTTACTGGGGTTATTAAAAGAATCACTGAGGCTGTTAAGCGAATCATGTGGCTGTTAAGTAAATCATGCAATCGTCAAGCAAATCTGATTCCCTATTCCGACCTGGTTCCCCAAAACTCTCTATCGTTAAATAAATGTTCCCTTTATTAAGAGCGCCAACAGCCCCGGCAAAAAAGTTTCTCTCTTTCTCACCGCAGGCTAGCAAGTCTGTCCAGCAGGGAGATGAATAGTTGTCTGCCCCATCTATTCATCTCCACCCCCTGCCTTTTATCCCCAGAGCTAGGGTGGGGCTTCACTAGCAATAGTAGCTCTTCCATCCCAAGGACCGGCCCATAGATTTCCACTGCTCTCCTCTCTTCTGCATATCCGCGTGTCAGGCACCGGACAGAGCTGTTCCTCCTCTTCTTCATCAGCCACCTCCAGACCTGAGGGCTGTTGACTCTCCCATATGAGAGCTGAAAGACACCTCTTTCTCTCTCTCTCTCTACCAGCTCCATTCCTTCTTCCCCTCAGAACTCTCAGCTTGTCCTGACTCCCAATGCCGCTCGCTCATCTGATTTGGCTGCTGGAGGGGCCGGCAGCCGACAGGCCACAACATTCCCCCAATTGAGTTTGCTTCTTGGAAACCTGCTGGGAAAGTCACAATTGTGATCCCGTGACCCTGGGATGTTTGCAAACCCTTGAATTGTGATCATGTGACCAAGTGGGTGATACAACGCGGTAACTTCGAGGATGGGTTGTAAATCACTTTTTTGGAGGCCATCATACCTTTGGACCATCGTTAAAACAAAGGGTCGTAAGTCAAGGATTACTTGTCATGGAATTTTAAAAACTTAGTAAATCTATCAAAAATACAACCACAATTTGAGCCCAACATTTCTGTTGTTGAGTGAGTTCAACATTTGTTAAGTGAGTTTTGCCCCATTTTACGACCTTTCTTGCCACAGTTGTGAAGTGGATCGCTGAAATTGATAAAGTTAGTAACATGGCTGTTAAAGTGAATCTGGCTTCCCCACTGACTTTGCTTGTCAGAAGTTCGCAAATGGGGATTACATGACTTTGGGACACAGCAACCGTCATAAATATGAGTCAGTTGCCAAGCATCTGAATTCTGATCATGTGACTAAGGGGGCCCTGAAAGGCCATAACTGTGAAAAAGGGTTCTAAGTCACTGTTTTCAATGCCGTTGTAAGTTTCAATGGTCACTAAATGAATGCTTGTAAGTCAAGGACTACCTGTAGTAGCAAGAGTTGGAAGGAACCTTCCAGGTCATCTAGCCAAACTACCACTCTGTGGCAGCTCACCCAGGGGTGGGATTCTACCAGTTTGGACTGGTTCGGGCAAACCAGGTGTTAAATTTACATCTGGTTTGCTGAAACAGTAGTTGAACTGACTGGTTGGCCCCGCCCACCCCGCACTATCCCTCCTAGGAGTCTACATGGGGCCCATTTTGGATGCAGGTAAGTGCAAGGGCCATGCAGAAGCTCTGGGAGGGCAAAAAAACGGGCCAAACCGGAAGTTCCAGAATTCCGGAAACACGCCTGTTTCCGGCTTCCGGAGGCCTTCGGGATGCCATTTTAGCCTCCCAGAGGCCCAAGGGAAGCCTCAGGACTCTGGGAAAGGCGAAAAATGGCCCTCCTGGAAGTTCCGGCAGGCCACGCCCACCATGGCCACGCCCACCCAGCAACCAGGCAGGGAAACAAGTTGCTGGGATTTTTGAATCCCATCCCTGATCTCACCCCACCAATGAATACCACCGACAAGCAACTAGTATCTCATGGCTGTTGAAAACGTAACAACTTACCTGATTGTCAGTTCCAACATCAATACATACAGGAAGGCACTTGTCAGGTCTTATTCCAGCACAGGCGGTGTATAAACACAGTTTGCCAACTGGAATTCCCATTCCATATACCCCCAGATCCCCAAGGCCCAAGATACGTTCTCCATCTGTGACGACAACAGCCTTGAAGGACAAAAAGGTGGATAGGGAACTGCATCAGATCACATGAAGAAGGAAAGACAACATGACAAAGAATTCATAGTTTAGCTTGCGAGCATACCCCCTATCTATTTGTTAGCTGGACTCAAGGAAGTCTATCTGGTAATATAGAAAGTCGACATGAAAGAAGAAAACACCGTCAGTACCTTCACATCATTCTCTGGCCAGTTGTTTACCACAGATCGGATGTGGCCTTTATCTGTTATGGCAATGTACAGTCCTCTGCAAAGACATCAAGGCAGAAATGCAAGAGTCAACCTGGTATACACTCTCCTTCTTATTCATTTTAAGATAGTCCTTGAAGTCTATATCTGTTCTGACCCACGTCCTTTTCTGACAAATCAAACACAATCCAAAAGGAACAGAAACCTTGTAATGCTTTTACAAAAAAATCAGCTGTGATAAACACAAGCCTTGCCAAACTGTGCGAGACTTGCCAAAAGATAACAGACAAGAAATAATTTGCAATACAAAAATGTTCAAATACAAACTCAGGATACTGGAATGTCCACAAGGCTGGGGTTTCAAAACGTCTTTGCCTTCTGCAAAGAAGGTTAGTTTCCCAGCTGGCTTTTATCTTCTTGAAGGAGGGGCCATTACCTTGCAGCCTTACTCCCGAGTCACCCATGCTGTTGTAATTGCTCTTTCCTACGAGCAGCCCTGCATGCATAGGCTCCTTGGGCATAGGCTCCTTGGGCATAGGCTCCTTGGGCACCATCTCATTGCTGCTGCCAGCCCCCACAATCTCTGAAGGCAGCAGTCCACTCCCTAATGGTCCTGGCCCCTCATCTGAGTCTTCACTCTCCTCGGCTGTCCACACCTGCGGCCGGCTAACCATAACAATATCACTATTCAGAGCTTACAGAATCTGTAAAAGCAACATTTATCTGATTTTAACATTCACATCTACTTAATTTTGTGAAATGAAGCAGGAAAAAAATGTCTCTGAACAACTAATAATAAGGAATAAGTACAATTTGGGAAGGAGGAAGATTCAAAATACTTGACCGGAAGGTGGGAAGATTCAGCTTGCCCGCCCTCCCCCCCCCATGGTCAGTGAAATTCACAGAACTTCCCAAGATGGACAAACTGACTCCTTTGATTAAAGGACAATACAGGTAGTCCTCAACTTATGGCCACAATTGAGCCCCAAACTTCTGTTGCTAAGTGAGAAATTTGTTAAGAGAAATTTGCTCCATTTTATGACTTTCCCTGTCACATTTGTTAAGCTGTTAACAAACTGCAGTTGTCAAATTTAGTAACACGGGTTCTTAAGTGATTCTGGCTTCCCCACTGCTCGTCAGAAGGTCGCAAAAGGGAGTCACGTGACCCTGGGACATTGCAGCCGTCATAAATATGAGTAATTTTATTTAGAAGGTTTATAGGACCCCCTCTCTTTCTAATTTACATAAATGACCTTTGCGATCATGTTAAAAGAAACCGCATCCTCTCTGTTGATAACGTAAAACTATTTAACATCCCTGACAATACTGCTGCCTTACAAAGCAACCCTGACTATGTGTCAGAATAGTTGAACAATTGGCAACTTCAAATCTCAAACTACAAATGCTCTGCCTTACACATTGGCAACACAAATCAGAACACTAAATACAAACTGGGTGGATACGACCACGTAGACCGCCCTCACTCTGTCGAGGAGCTAGGAGTACTTATCTCAAACGAACTAAGCCCCAGAGCTCACTGTAACAGCATTGCCAAAAAGGCATTAAGAATCGTTAACCTAATTTTGCGAAGCTTCTTCTCCGTAACATCGAACTGCAAACCAGGGCACACAAAACCCTCACCAAGCCAATTCTCGAATAGAGTTCATCTGCCCGGAATCCACACTGTGTAACGGACATTAATACAATTGAGCAAGTCCAGAGGTATATGAGAAGAGTACTCCACTCACAGTGGTGGAATTCAATTTTTTTTACTGCCGATTCTGTGGGCGTAGCTTGGTGGGCGTGGCATGGCTTAGTGGGCATGGCAGGAGGATATTGCAAAATCCCCATTCCCTCCCCACTCCTAGAGGAAGGATACTGCAAAATCCCATTCCTCCCCACCCCATTAACCTGCTTTCCAGCTCCATTCTCCTTTGCAGGGCAACAAAAGAAGACCCAGCTGATCAGCTGGGACTCGCGAGGCAGAGAATAGATGGGGGCGGGGCCAGACAGAGGTGGTATTTGCTGGTTCTCCGAACTACTCAACATTTCTGTTACCAGTTCTCCAGAACTGGTCAGAACCTGCTGAATACCACTTCTGACTCCACTCCTCAGCTCACGATAGAATACCTTATGGCACCAGGCTTCAAATTTTGGACCTAGACAACTTAGAACTACGACGCCTACGGTCTGACGTACGCTTAGTACACAAAATTGTCTGCTACAATGTCCTACCTGTCAATGACTACTTCAGCTTCAACCACAATAACACTCAGGCAAACAATAGATACAAACTCAAAGTAAACTGCTCCAAACTCGACTGAAAAAATATACGACTTCAGCAACAGAGTGGTCAATGCCTGGAACTCACTACCTGACTCTGTTGTTACATCCTCAAACCCCCAAAACTTTAGGTACCGTGGACCTCACTCCATTTCTAAGAGGTCTGTAAGGGCGCATGCATAAGCGCACCAGCGTGCCTACCGCCCCTGTCCTACTGTTGCCATTTATCCATTTATTCATACTCATTTATTAAGTATTATGATACCTTTTATACTTATATGTTTATAAGTTATATTCATACTTATACTTGTTTCTCTCATACATGCTTGACAAACTAAATACCGTATATACTCGAGTATAAGTCGACCCGAATATAAGCCGAGGCACCTAATTTTACACAAAAAACTGGGAAAACTTATTGACTCGAGTATAAGCCGAGGGTGGGAAATGCAGCAGCTACTGGTAAATTTCAAAAATAAAAATAATTAATTTGGGAAACGATCTCACTATCATGAAAGGTTTAATTGATTCACTAACCCAAAAGAAGAAGATGATGATGACAGCGGGAGGCAGGAGTCACTCTCTTCCCCTCCCTCGGAGGCCCCCTGAGTCAGGAGTCACTACTGCCGGCGCGGCCCCAGTCCCGCCGCCTCGGGAAGGGAAAGGCAAAGCGCTTTTTGCCTTTCCCTTCCCGGCTGGGGCTGTTGGGAGTCGCTGCCGCCGGAGGCCGCGACTCCACACCATTTTTTTTTCAGAGGGGAATCTGACTCGAGTATAAGCCGAGGGGGATTTTTTCAGCACAAAAAATGGGCTGAAAAACTAGGCTTATACTCGAGTATATACAGTAAATAAAATAAATAAAAAAATATATAGCCCCGAGTTAACAACTCCCTGGAAGGTAGAAAATAGAAAATGGATTCTGAATGGAAACAAAACATGTGTGAAGAAGAAGAAAAGAAGAACAATAAGACAAGAGAAAGGGAAATTTTTAATGTCACTATCAATTCTTTGGGATTCTTTGCCTGCAGTCAGCAGAAATAGTGCTTTACTAAGGAATACCAGCTTAATAAATAATGTACATAAAATTAAAAAGAATAGCGGGTCTGCAATTGAGTTTTCAGAATGAAAGAGCAGAAACATTCGTGACAATTAGGTAAAGAAATCATAAGGCTGTCCTTACTTTGGTCTTCTAAAAATATGCCCATACTGGGAACATGCAAGGCCTACTGTTGGTGTATAGACAATCGGCATTAATTGTTCGATATCATCTTGTAGGATCCTGTAGAACAGCTTCTCGTTTCTTTCCTGGATTCCCATCACGTAGATGTACCTACGAGCAGAGAAGTGGAGAAACAATTTGAAATGTGTGTGCTTATATATTTAGCTCTTTTGGGAGGGGGAGAGATCTCAACCCTCAAGCACAGTATTGGCTTTCTGTCACCTATCCATTTTTATTTCCTAAATGGCTGACTGAGAAGAAAAACATCTTTAAGAAAAAAAACAAAGGAAGTCCAAAGGTGCTTTTTTTTCCCCCAAGAGGCAACCGGATTTACTTGTTTTGCTTTGAAGAGTTTCGCTTCTCACCCAAGAGGCTTTTTGGATGAGAAGCGAAAAGTCTTCAAAGTGAAACAAGGAAGTCCAGTTGCCTCTTGGAAAAAAGCACCTTTGGGACAACCATGACCTGAATGACTGAGAATCTCCATAGTGTCAGGATTCCGGCAGTGACCTTAATTAAATCATGAGTCTTGAGCCAAACTTCCAAAACTTCAAAGGTTTTATTGGGAGTTAACATGTCCGGCACTGCCTGGGTGTAGCCGACTCTGAGACACATCATTCATTGTCACCCTTGACCCTGGTTTTCCCTCCACCCCCTGGGTGTATCGTAATTCCTATTCTCCAATGGGACACATCCATAGCTAAGAGTCATCAATCATGCTCTCCAATTAGAATTTTGCGTGGCAGAAGCTTCAGTCCCACCTATTTACTGTCTTTGAAAACATTTATGGAATGCAAGCTGCCCACTACTCCCCCCTCCATTTCTGTTGGCAACTCTAAAAAGACCAAAGAAATATTTTATGAGTTGACACATAGATAAGAAAGCAATGCAAATAAAATGAACATCCACCAGAAAATAATTGTATGTGTGTATAATGTAATAAAGCCTGATGTCATTTTTGGCTTTCTGAAGAGAACAGGGGTGTCAAACTCAAAGGCCGACAGCCAAACCTGGCCAGCGGGGTGCGTAGATCTGGTCCGCGGGGTACTTAGATCTGGCCCGCGGGGTGCTTAGATCTGGTCCTCAGGGCCCCCCTGGAAACAGCAAAGGACCAGGCCACAGTGCCTCTGCCACCCAGGCCTCCCAGGCTCTGTTTCCGGCAGCAACGGTCTCCTGCAGCCCTCTGCCAACGAAAATGGAGCTCATGGGGGCTGTGTGCAGAGAAGAAAAGATGGGAAGAGAACAAGGAAGGAAAGATAAGGAAAGAGGAGAAGGAAGAAGAAAGGAGAATGAAGAGGAAAGGAAAAAGAACAGAAGGAAGGAAGGAAGGAAGGAAGGAAGGAAGGAAGGAAGGAAGGAAGGAAGGAAGGAAGGAAGGAAGGCAGGA